GGAGCTGATGGCGATGCGTGCTGCGTGCGCCCGCGTCGCTGCAATGTCTGGTGCAGCTGACCAATTCCGCCTGCTGATGCTGGACCGCGATGATGCGGAGATGTTGACGGATACCACAGTTTATCTTCTGGATTCCCTTTTGCACACACTGCCCATTGGAACTGTTAACGTTGGAGCCTAAGTGCTACTTGTACCCCATTTTTACCTACTGCTTTTGATCGAATATTACCAAAGGCTCAATTCTTAGTTCGAGCCCGTCGAGTTCACAGCTGACTGTATGTCACAAAAGCCAGACATCCGCTTCGCTCCGGCAGTGTTCCAGACGATGCAGGAATTGTTTTATTCAGTAGATTAATCATTGCAGAGTGGGGGAAAAAAAAGTCGACGGTTACGAGGAAAAGAAAAGAAAAGAACGCCGGTACAATCTTTATTCGGCCGCGGGGAATCTGACCCCGGGCTGCCTGCCAATTTTCGGTTTCCTGCGCGCAAAGAGCCAGGCTGTGTTGTGCACACAACATCCGATGAACTTGGCTCTTTATTTCGGCGTGAAGTGGTCGAGTAAAAAGCCCACAAACTCCTCGGAGGATCTTAGACTCGAGTCTAGCGGTATTCTGTTCACCGCGTCTGATTATGTCAAGGGTTTCGAGTTCTGAGTAAGTACAATGAGGCTAGATCGAGGCACTGCGAGAGGATGAAAAAGAAATTCAAGACTCACTCAGATGCGGAATAATCAGTTCAGCGTAAAACACAGGACTTCTATGCGCATTCGCTGATGCACCGCGCAAATGGCAGGAGTGCAAACGGAGCCGGGGAAGAGCCGCAACGAAAAGAAAGAAAAAATCTGAAAGACCATTCGAACGCGGAGAGTCGCACCTCGGACTGCCATTTACTTGATGTTAGATGAACGGATCAAAGAGGCTGGCGGTGTTCCTACACCACACCCGATTAATTCAGCAGTTTATTCCTGCGTAAAGTAAACGCGGGGTTGGGTCAAAACGAACTTGTAGCGACAATGGCCAGGAGAGCCTACATGTTAGTGTGAATAAATAATAAATTAGTGTATTGAGCCGGATACCAGGCCCGAGAGCCTACAAAATAAATCGAGAAACTCGGACGCAGGGAGTCGAAGTGTACTGCTTGGATCCGGGTGGATGTATAAGAGAGCCGGTAGGGTATGTCTATATCTATCTCATCCGAGAATATGGCACCACATTCTCGGATTAGATAGTTGGTCGGGGAAAACCATGGCGAACACAGACGGCTCGCACGTAACCAATTGAAACGCAAGCAGACCAAAAACTGGGTGGCTGACGACGTGGAATGGAGCAGATATTCCAGGAGGGTAGCAGTTCTTGTTGTGTATTAACGCTGACCCAGGAGGCTGGATCCGATCTGGGAGAGAGATTCGAAACAAGCGGAGAGAGCCACGGATAAAAGAATCAATTTGGCGTGGTGGCAGTGGCCAGCGAAGTCACGATGAATCATCTGGAAACAGAGATAGCGTTGAATGGGGGTGAGGTCCAAGATTTTAAGACAGCCTTTCGAAGAAATGGCTCGAATGGAACGCGAAGCCGGTTGCGGAAAACAAGCCAGCGGAGGCGCTGAAAAAATGCGGTACAACCAATAGAACGGTGACCAAACGGTGACGAGCCACCAAAAAAGAAAGATGTCGTGATGGCGTCATGGAAGCAGAGAAGGTCCTACTTACAAGACATCTGGACATGAACGCGGTGGTTTGGCAAAGAGCGTGGAGGAGGCACGTGCGTTGCTGTCATCGGGGATTTTCTAATTCACCGCGGCTTGGCTCTTGCCACGACAATCACACACAACATCAACGTGCCCATTTATCTACTGTAGCTGTTGAAGCCCTTTGAAAGACTCGGCAAGCAATAATTTGGACTCCTCCTTCTGTTCGCTCCGATACGAAGTAGGAAGACATCCTCCGCGCTCCTGTACGCTTTGCGCGCCAACTGTTAGCGGGCGTTCCATACCGCACGGCCGTTCGCATTACCCTGTTCCCCAAATACGACAATAGAACTATGTTGGTGAATGCGCCGACGTCCACGCTATCCAGGCCAGCAGCACATCGCCGAACTTCAGACTGGAGAGCTTCAGCGCCAATATGAGTGTATGTCATCTCCCTGAGGGAATGCCTGTCTGGCTAACTCTAGGATGGTCGAGTACGAGACTTGTATGAGCACCCACTCGGGATGTCTAAGCGACGTCACAACTCGCTCCCACTAACGGCGTTTCGTGACACCAGGGTGAAACCTCGCCGTGCTATGTACGTGTATGCGTAGAAATCGAGCAACATTGTTATTTTCCTGGGCAGATCAATATCAGATTTCCCAACGACATCCAAGCGGCTTTCACCGATCCCCTGCTCACAAAGAACTCCGGTCATGATTGCATGGAACGTTCCCGTCGACCTAATTCGTTCGCTCTTTGGGCAAATATTTCAACCATCTCACCTCTCCGATTTCTAAACGCTTGGAAAAACTCACAGCCTCCAAGCGGTTGGTCCTCCCCCTCAGAATATTTTGAGCTTCAAATCTGATTCCAACAGATGAGTTAACATTCAAATAACCCCCTGGACTAGGTGGCACATCCAGCGTGCCATTACTGTCGGAGTGCGCCCCTCCACATTTCACCTAATATCCAGTTAAATATTTTCACTAGGCCCGGGTCAATTTGAGCAGGTCTACCAATTCGCAGACGACAATGACTCCATACTATCGGCGGATATGCGCACACAGTTGGCGTCAGCGGTGGCTGGATGACGGCCTATACCATAACCTTAATCTTCGCATTTTATCTTACCACTGAAATTGAACAGGGCGCTGGCCACAGCGCTTTATCGTCTTCGTTTGGTCTGGGTGTTGGCCGCGTCGTGAGTTCTAGCAGTGGGAGTCTTTCTAGAGCCCCAAGGAGCCATAGCACTAAGATTTAGTCTAATGTATATGGACCTAGCCATAGGAAGTGTTGTCTAAATCCACGGCACCAGCCATCCAGTTGGCTAGGTCCATGACGAAAGGCTAAAGTATCCCTCTTTAAAATAGAGGCAAAAGGAATGCCTGTCGAGGGAATTGAACCCTCAACCTTCGGAGATTGGACACTATTAGTAGTGGGTGGACAAACCATCTAGACTATATAGCTGATATACTTTTCCTTTCGTTCCCAGCTAGGGTAAGGCTAGCCTTACCCTGCCTGGGACTGCTTATACCCACACCTAGGGCAGGCAAGCTGCCCTAGGTCTTCGAAAGTATATTACACTGCTTATTCTCTTCTCTTGGAACTGCCTGCAACCCTAACCAACCCTAACTAAAAACCCTAACTAACCTAACCAACCCCAACCAATCCTAACCAAAACCCTAACCAACCAAAATTCATATACCTTGGGACCCTGACACCTAACCCCCAACTCTAACTCCAACCACTAACCCCAACATTAGCCTATGGCCCTGTGCGGGCCATAATAGGTGAACAGACATGATAATTACGTGATTAAAATGTCAGAGCTTATTGCCATTACTTTCACTACATATCAATTCCAGCTTGGCTCAGTTGTATATGCCTTTTATTATTTTAATGCGCCAAGAGCCTAAAGTCCTTGGACCTAGCCATCCATGGCTAGAGTCGTGGATTTAGACAACATTTCCTTTGGCTAGCTCCATGCCACTAGACTAAATCCTATGACTAGGGGTGCCCCAATTTTACTTTGTCCAGCTTGAGATCAAAATCGTCACACCTGGGAGACCGCGTACCGCTGGCACCTGCCAGAATACCGACCTCTTCTGGGCACTGCGCGGCGGTGGCGGCGAGGCATTCGGCATGGTTGTCGTGTCTACTCACCTTGTCGAGCAGCGCATCCCGAGTGAAGTGTGCGTATAATACTTCTTACACTGACCGCCGGCCTCCGAGTCTACCTATCACTGATCCTTTGCTTCCTACTTACATACAGAATAAATATGACCTTCACTCCCACGGCCACAAAACTGCAAGCGTACTTCGAGATCCTGGCGAACAATTCCACGATATTGGGCGAGCGAGAGCGGGGGCGGGGCGGACGCATCAACCGCGCGCCCACGGACCTCATCCACGTCAATCCGCGCCTCTCTTTGGCAACCGCCCATGACGCGGGTCTCCGCTCTGCGCGGGCGAAAAACGGCACTGCAGCCACCGAAACACTTCCCTCGTGGTCTACTTTCTTCACTAGGACCATTCCCCTCCGAGCTCAACCTTCATTACCGGAAAATCGTGTTCCCCGACAAAGACTTTGCATTCCCCGCAGTGTCGCGGCAAAGCCTTCACACCCAAAAAAACAACTCAGCGGCAATGCGTTCCCGCAACGATGCGGGAACGCACCGCCACCCAATTCAACTTACACCCAAAAAAATTTTACACCCAAAAAAAAATCGGTGGCGATGCGTTCCACCAACCATACGACACTTGAATCCACGTCTCATAGCACCCTATAGACCCCATCTAGCCACAAAAATGAGACACAACCACTCTCTTTGTGATCCAATCAAATACTTGCGCGTTCTGCTTCCAAAATTCACCCTGAATCAATACATCCAACGTTACATATACTGTACATACCACGTTACAAACCACATGCTGTACATGTATATAATATACCGTGCCATAATACATCCACCACATTTTATTCATACCACTGTCTATATATATATGAAATAAAGACCCCTGTGTGTGCGAGACAAGACAATTGGTCCAATACACATTCTTACTGGCTGCCACCACACCTAATTATGTTTTTTTCCACCGCGGCACCCAAATGTTCAATTCTCCACCGCGGTGTCACGCTTCTGTTTATAAAACGTTAACGTGTCGACATGCTGCCCCGCTCTGTAATCAGTTTTATCGATTCTGTGCGCCAAAAAGCCTGGTAAACCCCTCTATGTTCCATCACAACCTTTTTCTCTTTTCATTGTACCTTCCACCCCAAACACTCAAAAAGAGGTAATAACCGACTTCAGTACCTCCAGCGCGTTCGATCCGCGCGACCCCTCACTACCCCTTAACGAAAAGTTCATCATAATGAGGCATGTTACCATTACACCACGGAGGCCGACAGTCGCAATGAAATTTCATCAGTCAGAATAGCATTCCATGATCTATGTAAAAAAACAACACCCACCCAATGTGAATCTTGACAACCAGCTAGTCCAGCCAAGACCTATGAAAGGAAAGAAAGACCTGTAAAGACGAAAAGATCAGTGTCGTAAAGAAAAGAGACTAGCCCTGTTGAGACCTCTCATGAGAACCACCAGACGCACGTAACGACAGGTCTCTACCAAAAACCAATCAAATTGCAACGCAAAGAAGACCCCCAACACCAACGTTCACAGCGCCGACGAGAAACTGGAAGCAAAAGAAAGTCAGTGTCAAATGTGAGCCCCTCATAAGCCCAAATAGCGAGCCCCCTGAACTGAACCACCAAAAAAAATAAAGCACAGAACCCACAAAGAAATGTCTTACCATGCGCTATATATCTCATCCCAGGAACCGGCACCGGTTCCTGTTTTTGGCCATTTGACCCGATTTTGAACAGTTGGTCGACATTATTTAGTGCAAGGGTCTCTTAAATAAATTGTGGTTGGATCTGGCAAAGGCGGTTTGTGTGTGATTGAGCACGTTTGATGATAAATCCAGTTGGTCGACATTATTCAGTGCAAGGGTCTCTTACTGCTGTTTGCGGACCATAGGGCGCAGATCAAAATTTCATCAAAAACTGTTGTTCTCACCAATGCCCCTATATCTCGCTTGCCTCTACTCCAAATGCCCTGAAAACATTACCAATCGATTTCTACAGATGTTTTACAGTGCTTAGGCTTCCTAGAATATTTATTTCTGTTGTTGATGGCTTTGTAAGCAAATTCAGGTGGTCTTCCACTGTTGCCCCTGTTCGGAAGGGAAAACAACTCAGTATGCCCCAAATTTTTGTTTCTGGATTCTTCAATATCCTGTGCATTGCATTGACTAGTTCAATAGGCACTATACCTTGCTGCTGCGGTACAGATGACATGCTAAAGAAAGATACGCCGTATTTGTTACGCCCGTGGGCGTAAAAACGGACGGTTTCATGCCCTACTTCCGCACCTCTCTTCAGACTTCAATATGATCATGCATGAAGGTCGCTGAGCGCTGAGTAGTGAATCTCAGGCTCGGGCTTGGGCCGGGTTGAGGCGGCCTGAGCTTGAGATTTCTCAGGCCCAAGCCCAACTTAGGTTAGGGGGTACAGTCTTCAGCGTATAAATCCTTGATGTCTTCGTCCACATGTGGGTGGGTGTGTTCTCGTCTCTCTCACTGAATGTTTTTTCTTCTTTTGAATGTCCAGTGGACTCCAGTGTAATTTGAGCTCAAGTTCAGTGAACTTCGGTGAAATTCAGTGTAATTTCGTTAATGTCTAGTGGAATCAAGCAGGTAGATGTGAACTGAAGGGTAAAATAACACTGATATCCCAATTATAAGAGAGAAATAGGGTCGTTTCACAGTTCCCTTTTTCCTGCCCTTGTTCCCCCTTTTTTTCGGGCTTTTTGTGGTTCCAGCCGTTTTTCGCCGGGTTTTTTTCCCCTTTTCAATTCTTATGTGTAAAGAGGGTTAAAAAGGGAAAAAACGAACTTCCCAGCTGAAAAATTGAAAGAAATCCATCGGAAAAGGGAGCGAAAAAAGGGCAGAAAAAAAGTGAACTGTGAAACCCCCCGCTGCGGCTCCCTTTTTCCGCCCATTTTCGCGCCCTTTTCAACTCTATTTCTCTATT